TGACTCTCAAGCTGTGGGTTGATCTTAAAGCACTGACTAAGAATAAGGATAAATTCTTGCTTTGGAGTGTGACTCATTCTGCAGGAAGTCATATGCAGAGCTTCCGGAGAGATAAAGATGAAGCAAGTCTTCATCCTTGATTTTTTCCTTCCTCTGCCCTATCCTGCTTCTGTTTCTTGTGAGGTCAGCTTTTAAATCAGTCATGAAGACCTGAATTCCAGGCTCAGGCTCTGTTATGAGGGAACCTGGCTTATGACAGCATCCTTCAAAATACTGCTCAGCTCATACCTTATGTTCATATAGTCTTCCTTTCATGCCTGGATTAACCAAAACAGTTTCTCAGATCATTAGTTTCTGCCGTGCCTGTCTTTTACACATTTTCTAAAACCATACCATATTTCAAAACTACCTTTCTAAATTATGATAGTCAGTCTATTGTGGTTGTTAAAGTCATTATTTCAGTGCCCAGATTGCCTGGGTTTGAGTTCTACTTTCACCAATTATTGAGTGAATAACTTGGGCACATTCTAAATGTTTTCCATGCCTCCATTTTCCATATTATAGATAAAAGTGAGAAAGTAAGAATTTTCTGTTTTTTAAAGACAAAATGATTTGTAAATGCAAACCACTTTAAACAAGGCCTGGAACATAATCAACACAGTGAGTGTTAACTATCATCATCATTGTTGACTCAGTTATGTAATTCCTCTCCTCAAGCACCTACATTGCTTCTAATTAAACATAGTTTCGAGTACAAAACTTATCTCCTGGCTCTTAAGGTCTATCATAATCATATTTGTCCTATTTTTATGGTTTAATTTCCCAGTTATTTCCAATACAAACTCTATTTCCACCAAGTCATTATCCTTGAAATTTTTGCAAATAGAAACTTTTTAGTTCTCTATTTTTTCCATAGTATTATTGATACCTAAAATAGTATGCCATGTCTTTTCCACTAGGCTTACCTCACACTCAATTTCTCTGAAAAACTTTCATAATACTCTATCATATGCTGCTCATTTCCTTATTTGACTATGTCTTGAACTTGGAATTAGAACCATATATTCTACCTTGCAGTTATCTGCAACTATAATAATTTATTTAATTATCTTATGGTTTATCTTTAACTCCTCAAGTATATTGAAAACTCTACAGGGAAAAGCATTATGTTTTATAATCATTATGCATCACCAAGAGGGCATAGGCCAATGCTAGAGTTATGTTTGATGATTGTTTGTTTTAATTAGTGCAAAGAAAAATGCTTCATGGACTGCTGACAATCTACTATAGACATAAGCAAAACATTAAAGTGATATCCAAGTGATCAAGAAAACAAAAGTTTTTCAGCTTCATAATTATTTTTTTCTGAAGTTGCTACAGAGCTATTTTAAACTATCAAACTGAGTGAGAGATTTAGGGATGGATGATTTAGTAAAATTAAATAAATGTTATTCCTCTTCTATTAAAGATAATCTACGTAAATGAAATTTCCATCAACACAGAGAAGCAATATTATTTGCCTACTCCTGAGTATTAATATATGTAGTTTATGTAAGTAATTTCTTTTTAATGTATTTAATTGTGGTTTAAGTGCTGCTAAATGCATCATTTCAGTTGTCACTTTAGCCTCATCTGTCTACATACTAGTGCACTATAAAGAACATTAAAATAATAAATACTTTCTTGAAATAACTAAATTTATTGTCAAATATGCACAACAGTGAAAAAAGAATATAACACATTTTTAAATGCCAAGGTTTTTGTTCTGTAGAATAGGATACTTTTCTATCTATCAAATATCATTTTGTTCTTCATTTAAGCTTTCAGTTGATCATGAACATATTGCATGCTTGCTGTAAAAATTTAAATAATACATCTGTTTATACATTTCAGAAAAAAGTTAGCCACACGTCCTTTCCTACTTATGACTACCTCACAGGAATAAAATTTGTTAAGTTTTTGACATATATCATTCCACACAGTTCTGATGAATATAAAATGATAAATAACATTATTTCCAACTCAAGAGTAGGTATGTTAGTTACATAAGATTTCCCCCTTTATGTCTGCAAAATGCTCTTATTCTTAATAATGGCTAAGGGGGAAGAAAACTTTCACAAGCTCAATCATATTTCACTTCATATCTGTACATTATATCATACAAGGCCGTGAACACCTCCTAATTTTCCTATCATTGAAAATTCAAATATCCAATTGTTAATATTGACTATGTCAGCCTAATTTTCCTCATCTAAACCTCAGATTAAAGGTAGCCTACCTATAAAATATTTTTCATGTTTGAAATTCAAGGATTTGCATTCGAATATTTTGGTTTACTTGTTGCTGATCAATTATCTTGGGCTATTTGTGAGAAAGTTATATTCATCTTAGATTTCCTTCAAGGCCTAAAGCACAAAGAAATTCAGAATTTTAATTATTTTTCATGCAAAAATATATCGATGTGTTATCTGAAATATTATTAGCTTTTCAGACCTTACCTACTTAAAAATATGCCTAACAGTAAACAAAACTATTACATAAACATGACCTCTCATAAAATGATTGATAATTGTGACCAGTATCAAGTTAAAAACATATACAACATAACCAGCACATAAATAAATGATTTTGTGTAGATTCCTTCAATGAGGGTAATATGTTAACTAAAACCAAAATTTGACAGTTTGGAAAGATAATATTATTAATATAAATCAAACATATATAATTATGAATGAATACTGAGCGAGTGTCAATAACATTAGCTAGCAATGCTTTTACTGAAAGAGCTATACATCTTCATAAAAATTATTTATTTTTATATTATTTGAAATTATTATAATAGCCACACAATTTTTAGTGGTAATGATTCCAATACCAGATACATTTACTTAAAGACAATATTTAGTTGCACTAACCAAAATATAATAAGAGTGTTAAAATGTATTAGCTTATTACTAATGATTATTCATTTTAAGTCAAGAGCTAGCTGTGCATTAATCACAACTGTTTCATCAGGCAAAAGTATCAATAAAGTGGTATCAAATACCTGCAATGATTCACAACAATGCTTGTTCTTTTCAAGTGTCACACAATATTTATTTATATTTAGTAATATTTGTTTAACTTAGAATTCTAAGATGTACATTACTTGTAAGATAATTAGTACTAAAGTTTTAAACTATAGTGTTAAAAAATTAATTGAGAGGTCATCAGGCTGAGACATCTCAGGTTTTTATTTTCTACCTAAACCAAGCAAAAACCAACTCAGAGTAATTTAACCAATCAGAAACCACCAACTAACCTCTAACTAGGCTCTTGCCCTGCTTTAACCAATCAAATATTTTATTTGTTTTGTTTCCACAAGTGTCTTATGAAAACTTTCCTCTGGTCTTCTTTAGGTGGGACCCTGAACAGCTTGTGCTCTCGTGCTACCTGATTATGAGCTGCTGTTTGCTCAAATAAACTCTTTAAAATAGTAATGTGCCTAAATTTATCACTTAACAGTGTAAAGAAAAGATAAAACTTTATTTGAATTGAGTTAGCCATAATGATTTTTAAAAACTAATTTTTATATCATACTTAAGAAACACATCAATGATCCATAATAATGTATTTAGTTTAATATATTCTAAATATATTAAATATTTATATGTTCAGAATAATACATGTAAAAGTAATACATTGCTCAAATGTTTTAGAATAATATAAAACAAGAATATTGATTTCTCATCCAATAAGAATATTGTAAACAATTTGCAAAACTAAATAAACTATTTAGGAAATAACTAATGTATATAAAGAGTAATAAAGAAAACAATGTAGAATATTATGAATATAGAATAATTGCTCACCAGATTGGATAAAAATGTTTCAAATGAAAAAGAAAATATTGAATTAAGACCAATAAAAGACTACAAGATTGTAGAAATTATAGGAAACACTTTTCTTTTAAAAAAATTAATGAACATCTGATGTGTTAATATATTTTTGAGTTGACTGACACCTCCTGTCTTCTCAAAAAATACATACAATATGATTTAATTTATAAGTTAAGTGAAGTAAATTTAATTACACTCTCAAGAATAGTTCTTACTCTGAAGAATATAATTGAATTATTATCTAGATGCTATTTAGATGCTAGCTCAGGATAATTTGTGGTTTTGCCACACATATTATGACAATGAATAATTATCTCAATAATAATGACTATTTGTGAATTCTCTTGCAAATGGTAACTCAACTTCGCAGTTATATTTGAAAAATAAAATCAATAATATATTATCAAAATGCTTTAAATAGTTACCTGACAGATTGGACTCTAAATCACCTACAGTAGTTATTGTGTCAAATGTCCTTCCCCATGCATTTCAAGACACCGACTTAAATTCAACGTCCATATTGCAATATTTCTATCACGGTAGATATACACCCATGTTTTTCTGGATTCATTTTGGTGCATAGAACTATTAGCTTTCAAATGTGTTATGGCTTTAAAAATAATATCAGTATGAAACAATTTAATTTTAAATAAATATTAAATGAAAATGTCAATAGGAAATACCTTAATTTATTAGTTGATATAAATATATAACTAAGATAATCTTTCTTTAGTTTCTGATGGAATAGCATACTTCATTTCAGATTTTAGGCACAATTCCCAAATTAGTGTGCCTAAAATTAGTATGATTTTGAATCCCACAGTCCCAGATAATAACAGTTTTCCTCCATAGCTATCAGCCCTAGTTACAAGTAGTTTTAGTTTTAAACACTTTATAATTGTTTTGTTTTTCAAAAAATTATTACCTAAAATAGCATTTCAACTTTTCCGCAAGAGAAAAATAAGAAAAAAACAAGTATAAACAAAACAAACGACAACAAAAACGTCTCTTAAAAATGTGAGTCCTTATTTCCGTAATCATACAATACTTTGCAATCTACAAGCCAGTCTGTCACTTTTAAACATGTGAATGCATGTTTCCAGTAGAGGCAGACTACTGTACCTATGTGCAGGTATCTTTCGGTTCCCAACAATCAGGATAACATCACAAAGTTGCTGCTGCTTCAAATAACTTTCCATCTTTCTGAAGGTTTGCTCAGCATGATGAACAGCTTGATAGAATTCTTCAGAGCTACTGGAGTCCAAATCACTTTGAGGTGTCATTGAGTGGCCAGTTGACGACAGCCTATAAACCACACACACACACACACAAAATAATAAAGGGATTTATAAAGAGCCAATTATCTAGAATAATATACAGGTTGTTATCATTTTCTTAAGAAAACTAATATATCTGTGTTTATTTTTATATTTTAATACAAGTTCAATAAACAAAGGTCCAAATAATCTATTGTGGGTTAAGTGATTTGCTCTAGGAAATAATAAATAAATGGAAAAGTTCTTTTTTCTTGTTTAAAAAAAGGTTTAAAAATATGTTGTTTGTATTGATTAGGACATTGTTAGTAAACCTGAAATATCACAGAAATAGTAAATTATTTACATACCTATTCTAAAATTAATTAGCAATGAAATGCTAATTTCATTCATTTGATATTGAGGAAGATAATTATACTATTCTAAATAGTTAGGATTATTGAGATGTCATAGTAAATGTTGCTTTGCAGAAATAGGTGATTTTTATCATGAAAAAATATGAAACCTGGTTTGCAAATAATACTGACACTTAAATTTGTAAGTGAATTATTGAGTTTCACGTTCTGTACCCCACTATTAAATAAGTACTGATTAGCTCAGTACTTAGAATAACTAATCAATAATAACTATTTTAATAAACTTTATGATTTTGAAAAGTCCATGATAGTTTTGTCACTTCATGTATTAATGGCATAGACTGTTCAAAAAAATAAAAAACTTTAATAAATGCCATACTGCACCATAGGGAAGACTCAATATTCAAGTTACATGATAGACACATGACAAAGCCTAGCAGACCCAATCAAGTGTTCTGATGACAATTCCTTAAATAACCTAAAATTAAATATTAATTATGTTCATAAAATTAATACTAAAATTGCTTACTTCATGATAAATATCTTAGAAAGTAAGATGGAGAATTCTGGTTCCAATTGCAATGTAGTAATTTACAGCTGACTAAATCCCTCTCCAAGAAAACCACAAAAAAGTTACGTACAATATCAAAATAATTATTTACATTCCATAGGATCTACTGAGGCAATCAGGACTTAGAAAACCAAGATCCTGAAATACAGATAAATTCATTAGAGTCATTCATCTAAAAGTTATTCCCTGCGTATCTTTCCCTCTCAAGGTATTTACTAGTTATTAACCACATAGGGTGAGAGTCCAAGGAGCTCAACATAATGTGGCAGCTAAGCAGTTCTTCTGAGGATAATACAAAGACTGAAACCTAGAGTTGTATCAGTGAAAATCTCTGATTTCATTAAGCTGAACTTTTAATTGAAGTACCAGCAAATAATATAGTTTTTATTTAGAAAAAGACATTCCTATATGGATTCCGTGATATCTTATATATAATGCCTGTCATTAAAGGAAAAAAATAGTGGGTCTGTAGAGAAACTGGACACATTAAGAAAAACTGGACACATTAAGAAAAACAGACAACAGAAACATTCTCCCAGGTGCTACAGATACGTTCAAATATATGGATCACAATTATTACTTAACAGACGTAAAAATAACTTTCATTAATCGTTTAATACAGATAATAAGCTGGATAATTTCAAGTCATATGAAAAAAATCAAATGGAAAAAATAAGGCAATACAATAACTTAAGATTCTGATACGCAAAATTAACTGGTAGATAAAAGACAAAAAAAAAAAAAAATGACGATATGAAAAATAAATTAGGCCAGGCGCGGTGGCTCAAGCCTGTAATCCCAGAACTTTGGGAGGCCGAGACGGGCGGATCACTAGGTCAAGAGATCGAGACCATCCTGGCTAACACGGTGAAACCCCGTCTCTACTAAAAAAAATACAAAAAACTAGCCGGGCGAGGTGGCGGGCGCCTGTAGTCCCAGCTACTTGGGAGGCTGAAGCAGGAGAATGGCGTAAACCCAGGAGGCGGAGCTTGCAGTGAGCTGAGATCTGGCCACTGCACTCCAGCCTGGGCGACACAGGGAGACTCCGTCTCAAAAAAAAAAAAAAAAAAAAAAAAGAAAGAAAGAAAAAGAAAAATAAATTAATAGAAAATACTCAAACTAAGTTATTTAGATTAAAAAATAGAAAACAAAACAGTAAAATTATAATATTCATGTAATTAATATATTTTGTAATCTTAAAAGTAGGGGGGAGAGATGATGGGACAAAAGCTATCTGAAGAAATAGCGGCCAAGAATTTTCAAAAGTTTGTTAGATACGTCAGGAAAGAGATTCCAGCGAAACTGGACTTAAGCACGTTTTAATCATATAGAACCACCTAATATACTTATTTGGAAAACATTATATTCTATTGAACCTCTTCCTCTTGAGATTCAGAACCACAGCTATGCAAAATAAAAAAATTTGGAGAGCCTTACCAGTGAAACGTAAAAACCAAAATAATCAACCCATTATTTTTGAATAAGAAAATACGTAATTGATATTATTTCCAGAAGATGCGTTTGTGCACATAGAAAATTCGAAAAAATGACAGAAAGGCTTACTAAATTCTAAATCCACTGTTATTACGTGTTTTCTCTGTTATCTGCAGTATTTATCCACACAAAATGATTATTTTCATCAGACTTTACAAGTTCTCCTTTAAATATTTGAAATTAATACAAATTTTGCTGAACCATATGTTTGCCTTTCACAAGTTTGCAAATTACAACCCAGAATATGGCCACTTCTCAGCATATTTTAAGAATTCAGGCTCATGCACGTGTAGCAAGAATAGCAGAATTCTTCCACATGTTAACACATTGAATAGAAAAGTCACAATATGCAGTGCAGAGTGCATTTTAAGTTTTAAAATGACCATATTACTGACTCTCAAGTACAAAGGATAATTAAGTCAGGATTTGAAGGATGCCAAATAGACCAAAACTGCTCCAAAAGGAAACCCTGATGCTTCTGGTCAGATACTCAGACTGCATGATAAGGGTTTAAAATTCAAGATATGAGAAACACCTCTAAAGAATGGCTCCAGATTAATTTAAACAGGATTTGAGATAAAAGCTCTACGTAAGTCCTTATATTAATTAACCAAAGGTTAAATGAAATATTCTTGTTAGCAACTTTTTTTTTTTTTTTTTTGAGACAAAGTCTCACTCTGTCGCCCGGACTGGAGTGCAGTGGCGCGATGTTGGCTCACTGCAACCTCTGCCTCCTAGGTTCAAGCGATTCTCCTGCCTCAGCCTCCTGAGTAGCTGGGATTACAGGTGCCTACCACCAAGCCCAGCTCATTTTTGTATTTTTAGTAGAGACGGGATTTCACTACGTTTGTCAGGCTGGCCTCAAACTCCCGACCTCAGGTGATCTGCCCATCTCGGCCTCCCAAAGTGCTGGGATTATAGGCATGAGCCACTGTGCCCAGTCTGGGCAGAAATTTATATACCTGATTAAGATTTCACAATCTAGGAAAAATTATTAAGAAAATTATTTAATTTACTTTGTCTTTAGTTGTCCAAGCTGTGGTGGGTGTACTATTAAAGCAAAGAGTGACATAAATAGAACAGAAAGAAATAGAAAAGAAAGAAATAGAGCTTGGTGAGATCCTGGGGTGGTGGGGGTGGGGGGTGTGGGGGGCGGGGACATAGTATTTGAAAAGAGTTATTCAAAGTCAAAAAGTTAACTACTGTCAAGATAGTACCTTTTTTTTTTTTTTTTTTTTTTTTTTTTTTTACCTAATCTAGTTAAAATAATCAATCTCAAATATAATGTAGACTTGGACTTTTTCTGACAAATTTAAAAGCAATTTGAAAGAGTGGGATTAAAAGAACAGAGAGTTAGATACAAGGCTCAAAAAAAAATAAATAAATAAGTTTAAGTTCTCTCCTGGATTTTTTTCCTAAAAGTTCTTATGCATTAAGTCTCTTCATGTTATATCGGAGAACAAATTACTTCTCTTCAAGGTCATCGATCCTTCAGATAAATGGTTATGTTTGTTTCCCTTGATTTTCTCTCACATATTTCCTCACATATCATTTCATGATCTAAGACTTTAGTAGGATTCTTTCTCCTCAACTTTATACGAAATACGGAATTTTAAAATGAATTTTCACATCAGAACACTTACAATTTTTAAGATAATGTTTATTATTTAACCTTCTTCCCATCACATATCCAACCTACTAATTTAAAAAGGAGACTTTAACATTTTAGTGAATTTACATTATGTATTTATCATGTTTTCTATAGGTGTTAAATAAAAACCAGGCAGTGGATTATTTCATTGTTTTGTCCAATTTTGTATATCAATTGAAAAAAAAAAAAAAAAACTGTAGTCTCTTTCCAATCTAAGAGTCCCTAATACAATGATCTGAAACTCTAACATTTGTCTTTATTTTGGTCCAATAATACAAACCTTGAAGTTACAAGAAATGCAATTTTAAAAGTGCAATATGACTTCCTCTTATCAAATTTAAAGACATGTTTGCCTTCTTCAACCTAACATGTATAAAAATAAAATGAATAAAGTTGTTTTGATCTCTTGAACTCCTCAAACCATAGGTATACTATTTCATTTCCTTCAATACCCACATGTCTTGAAAGAATAGTCTTCACGTCTGAACTTCAGTTCCTGACCCTCCTAATACGCCTTAATCTATTGCAATTTGATTTCCATAACTGCCCATGTAACGGAACTACTCTTAACAAGGACATTAGTGCCTTTCTTGTGACTATCTTTAGCATTTATTTTAATTTCCTCTCATTAACTGCTGAGAACTGACCAACATACTTTACTGTTCCTCTTCTAAACAGTTCAGGACTCAATATTCTTTACTCTCGCTATACCAAACGATTCTGAGATGAAACCTGTTTCCCTATTTCTTTGTTAAACAATATTGGAATCAGAAATAATTTAGTTACTTTCTCAAGGAAATATTTATTTCTGCAATAATAGATTGTTTACTAATAAGAAAAAAATATATATAAAACAAATAATTACTCATCTTTTTTTTTTTTTCTTACTTTACGACCTACCTACTGAGTGCAAATCTAAAATTGTTATTATTTCTTCCCATTGCCAACCAGTTCCTCAG